TTTAAATGTCAAATAAAAACTTGAAATGTAAGGCGAAACAAAATCACAACGTGAGAAAAAGAGTTCAAACCCCATCAGCAAGCCATATTTTTAAACGTTCCACTGCAATGGCGTTTTGATATGATAATCCGAAAATAAACTCATAAACATTGAAAAGAAAAAAAAAAAAAAAAAAACAGTAAAACTAAAGCTACACATTTGTATATTTGTTCACCATTTTGTGACAAGATAAAAAAGGTGATTTTGAGAATTAATAAAACAACGATTTTATATGAATTTTATGTGTATATCGATCAGTCAAACACAATGTTCGTATAATTAAAAATGTTAATTATTCATAATAAATCAAATGATTGACAGTGAACACAACTATCGAATGATAGACTGAACGATCGACCAACCAATCGACCGACCGACCAGTCAGACAAAACGGACCAACCAAATCGTTAAATATTTCACATCAAATCCACAAATTGGGGGCGATTTTGAAAATTGGTGAATAAAAAAAAAAAACAATGAAATGAATACAATTAGCATTGGGATGTATTTCAGTATTTGTTCCCATAAAACATGGACAATTACAAACTCAAACGGTAAAAAAGAAATAATGTTTTGGAGTACTTATGTGAAAAACAAGTAAGCAAAGGCTATAGTCGTGCGGGGCCGACTATGTTATACCCTACAACACTACAATATGTTAGAAGCCCCCTTATGTCCAAATCCATTTTGCAAGATTTCGCTTTTGAAATTAGGTTTTTGACTAGGGACATTTGACCTTCATTTCTGCACTCCGTCGGGCTGTTAGTTGTTATAGTCCATTTTACAGCTAAATATAATCCAATGGTCATCCAAAATGCTAGAATTCTTCCCTGTTCTTAACTCTCTTCACAGGCGTGTCGATTGGCTTCAATTGTGTGATCGGAAAAATAGTTCTGTTTTTGGTTAATTTGAACCCCTAAATATTTTGCAATCATTTAGACTCATCTATATGATTTGCTTGTCTACGATATTTGGCTATATTCGTCAACGGAATCAGCATAAAAAGCCAGAAATTCGCCTTTGTGTATTTCAGATATCGCCTGTATGTAATGCTGGTATTTTTCACACAAAATTAGTGGTCCGTTGTACCCGCTGTCCTTACTCTAACTTTATGCGAGATTTCGTGTCCTCTCTTTCTGACCTTTATAACAGCTGCAAAATCAGGAACATTTTTAGTTGTTGGTCCATTTCAGCCCCTAATATATTGCGGACATCTTTGAAAACAAAAACAATTTGTGAAAATTTTCGTGAGGATCGGACGATATTTGCAATACTTATATAATATCCCCAACCTGTGCTGTAAGGTCAAAAAAATATTACAAAATATTATAAGTCAAAAATATGAAAAGATAAAAAAAAATGTCACAAAATACTACAAAATCTATGTTAACATCATTATTGGCTTATTTTTCTGCTACAAAATTTGTCAAAATCGGTTCAGCCATTCTGGAGATATAAGCATTCTAACTAACATCCCCTTCCTTTGTATATAATCATTGTATATATTTCGCTATATATAACCGATATATTTACTATCGGCATCTACGTAACGGTCAGAATTGACCTATTCGTCTATTTGTGATTTCGCCGGTATTAGAAATATTCGCGGTTTAATGGAAAATTTGACTTTCATTTAACACAAAGGTTGTGGGCTTTTTCACCCACTAAATATTACCCGATGACCATAAAAATTGGAAGGCTTCTGCCCAGCCCGAATCTCTAGCCCCATGCTAGCTTCCGCTTTGATTGGTCTATAATTGCGACCTGTAGAGCAACTGCAAAATCAGGAATTTTTTTCAGTTTTTGGTCCATTTCAACCCCTAAATATTATGCGATCATCTCCAACAAAATAGGGTTCTATTCTGACCCTAGCCCCACCACCATTTTAAATTTTGTAAAGATCGGGCCATAATTGCGACCTGTGGGTGAGGTTCACTGTTGGCCAGAAAGTGTCAGAAAAGGCTGGAAAAAGGAAATATTGCACCCTCTGAGTTGGACAAACCAGTAGTGGTAAAACTCTTTAATTTGGAATGAGGGTCTCAGATGGAGAGTATGATGGATGTACCAGAGGGAAATTACTACATATGGCACCATTTCGTATCATATGAACGGTTAGAGCTAAAAACTTTGAATAGGAATCAAGGTTGGGGTGTAATTCGATGTAAGGTGGTAGTCTTAGAAGTGTGTACTTATGTATACAAAAAGTACTAAATTTGGTACAATTTGAATTTTGAGGAACGGATGGTGCTGGAATCTTGAAGTTTGAAATAACCATTACTGGGGGAGAGTATGATTGGGATATAAAGGTAGTATTCGAAATTTGTACTTGAGTGCACGAAAAGTACTAAATGTTACTAAAATTTGGTTTGGGTGAACTGAAAGAGCTGAAATGTTGAAATTTGGAAATAAGATTAATATTGCATTGTAGGATTGGGGTAAGTAGGAAGTTTTGGAAACTCGTACTTAGGCTTACTAAATAGTACTAAATTTCTTAAAATTTTAAATTTGCGAGAACTGATAGAGATGGAATGCTGAAATTTGGAAATAAGATTAATATTGCATTGTAGGATAGGAGTATGTAGGATGTTTCATAATTGCACTAAATGTTGCTAAATTTGGCACAATTAACATTTTTTTGGTACCAGTAGATTTGGAATCTTGAAATTGGGGAATAAGATTTTTTTTGAAATGTATGATGTTGGTAATTATGGAAATTTGTACTTATGTGCACTAACTGGTACTAAACTTGGTACAATTTGGATTAGGTTGAACCAATAGATTTGAAATATTTCTGAAATTTGATTACTGTCGTAGTGTAGGATTAGGATATGGAGGTAGTTTTGGAAATTTGGAAATGGCACTAATGTTAGAGTGTAGGATTGGTTTATAGTTTTGGAAATTTGTACTATATATACTAAAATTTCTAGAATTTGAATTTGGGAGAACCGATACAGCTGGATAGAGCTTTTTATGTATGTGCGCGAGAGGTACTAAATGGTACTCAATTTGGTATTGCGTGAAAGGATACTGCTTGCGATCTGAAATTTTGCAGGGTTGACATTTGGGGTTGACCCAAATTTGGGTTTTGGGTAAAGTATTGAGTTCAAAGTCTAACATTTGGCATTAGGATCATCTTTTCTGCAGTTTGGTTGATATTTGGCGGAGGATTTTGAAAAGCGTACTAAGAAGTACGAAAAGTTCTAAATAGTATTATTTGGGGAAGGAAGAGTATTGGAAATCTGAAATTTAGAGTGAGAGTTTTTAATATTGCGTAGGATAAACCCAATAAAGGGGATTTTGAAATTCCAACTATATGCATACCATAAGTACTAAAATGTACTATTGGCACCATTTGAAATTATGTAAACGGATAGTTGTATAACATTAAAATTTGGTATGAGAATCGATTGGGATTGTGTACTAAGTATAAGAACTATTCTAAATGGTTCTAAATTTTGTATAAATATAGAATTGTATGCATTGAAATTAGTGATTCAGGTTGAGATAAAAAATGCAACAAAGTCAAATGCCATAATTTTTATTATTTTTTTTTTAATTTTATTGAATGAAAGCAAGAAATATCGAAAATAGCATCAAATTTTAAAAAAAGTTTAGATTTGTTCGAATTGGTCACCTTTGGCACGAATTACGGCCAATCTTCAAACGGCCAATGAAAGCGTCAAACGCTGCCCGAATGTTGCTCTGCGGTATTTTGGCCCATTCCCGGCGAAGCGCTTGCTTGAAGTGATCGACAGACACATGGTATTTTTTAGTGCCAACCTTGCTTTCCAAAATACTCCAGTCAATTTCAACGGCTTTATCCCGAGCTCATTTTTAAATATTTGCCGAATTTTGCGATATGTTCAGCTCACGAGCCATTGCTCGGCTACTGCGACGCGGTATATTAAAATTGGAAAATATATGTTTACAGTTTTGACAAGTAATTTTATTGTTTATTACAGTCAAAATCTGCCTTAATGCCTTGGTTTTTAGATCAAGTCCTAAATTTTAGAGCCGTAAATATACACAAAGGGACACCAGTATTTTGAGCCACATATCGCAGTATTTCATAAAGACAGCTTAGGATTACTTCAAGATTCCATGGCTTAAAATCTTCATATCATTCTAGTTTTGTATAGTCCTTAGAAAATGGTAACTCCCGGTTTGAAGTTTTTAAGATCTTTTTGAAAAAATTCTCAACAAAGGTCCACGTTGTGTTATGACTTTTCTATAAAGACACCTGTCCATTTAAGTTATTTAGAGGGTCTTGGTCATGTTACCCAATCTCATTGTGTAGAACATCTCTTCAGAGCAACTGATACGTATCAGTCAATCAGACATCACGCACATATTTATTTGTACATCAATGTATGTATGTGAACATTTATTCAATTCAGACATTCATCAGTATATATGTATTTATTGATGTTCCAATAAATACCTACATGATCACAATACATATGTATAAGCCTACATATTTATTAGCAGCCCAGATGATGTCTTCTAATTTGTTCGATGCTCCAAGTTCGATGCTGAGACAAATGTTTGCTGCTGTTGTTGTTATGCGATTATGAGACAGGCGACATGTTTACAAAATTATCGGTGACAAATGTTATTGAACATTTTTACCACATTTTTGTCTCGGAATATGTTTGTGTTGCTTGTTGAGTTGTTTTTTATATATTAATATTTATATATATGTATTGATACTATTTCGGTGAAGAAAAAACAAAATATTGTGGGAAAATTTCACAGATTCCATGTGTACCTGTTTGTCGTTATGTCTGTTTTAGTTGAATTAACACATGTTTATATTAATGCCATAAATAATGACATGAATTTTTAAATTAAGTGTTTTTTTTGTATTTTTCTGGTCTTTGTGGTCTGTGTGTGATTTATTTATGGTTTTGTCTTATGTCAAGTTTTCTTTATTTTTATTTGTTTCTTTATTTATTTTTCAGAGCAATCCCTATGGTCTGAAGGACACCACAACGGGTACCGATATGACAGCTTGGACATCGGCGGGTTTGCAGCCAACTACGGGGTATTATTCATATGATCCAATGTCTGCGTATGGGTGAGTGATAGTTTTCCCTCTTTGATATATCCAGTTGCCAAAACATAAGTATATTGTACTTTTAAGTGTTTATAATAAATTCACTTATTGGTCCCAATTTTGGTCAGCTAGCAACGTATTTTGTAAAACAAGTTAAGGCTGACAGTATATCGCAATCATCATATTTGGAGGTTAAAGTAGGCAAAAACTCAATTAGAGATTTAAGCCAAGATCTTATTTCGAAAAGAAAAAATCTCACTATTACACTGAAACCACAAACTTTAATAAATATGACTAATTGAAATTCTGTGTCAAAATTTGATTTTTTATTTTTAATTTAAGGAAGGCCATCTCTATGTCTGCCATAATCAAGATAATTTCAATGGTTATTTATGCAGTCTACGTTTTTTATGTCCTCCACAATAGTTATAAGTTTGCTATTTCATTTATAATTCCTCCAAATAAGAGTTTAGGACCCCACAGAGTATATATTTTTGGACAGCATATAGTCTTATTTAGCCATGTCTATTCGTCTGTGAAAATCACTCTAGCTCCCGAAGGGAATAAAGTGGGTTGAAGAAATTTTAATCTCATGTATTTTAGGTATGTAAAATTTTTGGTATTGGGTGTTTCAGCTAAATCCTTGAACCGAACATGCTGTAAATTGGCAAATTTAAGTTCGTAATGTAGACAAAACCTCCTTGCAAATATCCTTACGAGTCCAAATTTTCGATAAGACCTCATATAAAGCTATATTCCCATATTTGGTAATTAGATGTGTTTACTCACATTTTTGAACGGAGTTAACTCAAAATTGCCTCCACATTGTCCACATTTTTGTGAAGTCCCCATATGACTGTATCTAACAATAAGTCATATCACATTTTTCCACGAAATTGTTTCAAATTTGGAGTTCGTAATGGGTATCACCTCCATACAACGATACCTCGTTATACTAGGTATTTTGATGGAATGTTCTCATAATTAGTATTTGGAGTTTTAAATATGCATCGCTAGGGCAGATAATTGACTATGAAGGTTCACGTTTTTCATTTGACTGTACTACCCAATATTCGCTACTAAATGAGGCATTTTTTAATAGTTTTTGGCGGAGAGAACGAAAGTGATTTTTTATTTGATAAGGTTTTAGAAAAATTTCGAATTAAAAAAACTCTAAGTTAAATTGGCACAAATTCGGTAACCGCCTGATTTTCGATATTTCGAAGTATTCAATTCCAAAATCAATTCGATATAATCTAATATTTTGTTATACCCTATGTGTTTGATTGGACCAAAATTATGTAACACCTCCAAATATTGGTTTCCCACATAGGAAAGTACATATGAATCTTCCGAGCTGAGCCGATCTAGCTATGTATGTCCGTCTGTGATGTGTATATCCGTCTGTCCATGTTAATTTGTAATCACTCTACAGGTCTTCAGGAAATTTAGAATGGAGGTGGGACTAGGCCCAGAATAGAAGACTATTGCTTTTGGAGATGATCGCCAAATGTTTAGGGGTTGAAATGGACCAAATACTGAAAAAATGTCGGATTTTGCAGTAGCTATACAGGTCGCAATTATAGATCAATCGACGCGGAATTTCGCATGTAGCTAGAGTTTAGGGCGGGGAAGAAGCCTACCAATTTGGGTGGTCATCGGATAATATTTAGCGGGTAAAATAGTCCATATCTTTTGTGTTGAAAAAATTCAAAATTTTTCATTAAACCGCGAATATTTTAAATCCCGGCGAAATCACAAAGCCATGACAAGGTTACTTCTGACCTTTACATTGATGTTAACATCCAACAAAACGGATATATAGCAAAATATGTGCGATATATATGTTTATCAGAGAAGATAGGCTTGAAAAATCTCTTATATGTCGAGAACGGCTGAACTGATTTCGGCAGTTCTTAATTCAGAATGGCCTCTTGGCAGGAAAGTAAAACGTCTAAAAATATCGCATAAACATATCTCTCTAAAGATGAAAATATTGATTTTGTAAAATTTTCTCATATTTTTTCAATTTTGTCATATTTTTGGCATATTTTCATTTTGAATTAAACATTTGGTAATATTTCTACAGCTAACAAAACTAAATAGTTAGGATATCAGGATATCATATACAGATCGCATTTATGGCCCGATCCTTACGAAATTTTGCATGGGGATAAGATGAGGGTCAGAATAGAAGCCTACTCTTTTTGGAGATGATCGCCATATATTTAGGGGTTGAAATGGACCAAAGAAACTGCAAAATTGTCAGCAGGTCGTAATTATTGCCCGATCCTCACGCACATTTGAATGGGGGTTACCGGGCATTGCAAAAGCCAAGCAGTTTTAAATGGCCATCCAAAAATATTCAATGTGTGAAATAGTTTGCCAACTTTTGTAGACAAAATACGAAAATGTCCATTCCAGTGACTTCACTTCTGACTATTTCGTTAACGCTGATTTCGTTGAAGAATATAGTCAAATGTCTGTATCTCATATAGATGCGTTTCAGTCAAAAACCAATAATAAATGTTAATCCTTTGCCACTTCTGAGAGATTATAGGTCTTTGGGTAATATTGGTTCCAGATCTAGGAAGACCATTTACTTGCAACATCTACCAATAAATTGCTTTTGGAGATGATTGCAAAATATTTAATGGTTCAAATTAACCAAAAACAGAAATGTTTTTCCGATCACACAATTGAAGCTAATCGACACGCCTGTGAAGAGAGTTAAGGACAGGGAAGAATTCTAGCATTTTGGATGACCATTGGATTATATTTAGCTGTAAAATGGACTACAACAACTAACAGCGCGACGGAGTGGATAAATATTGGGCAAATTTCCCTGTTCAAAATGCTAAGGGTAATATCTGGGCAGTGCTCCGTGGCATAATTTTAGCCTTATGCTTTTTTTTGTGCAGTAAATATCTAAGAGTAGCGGGCATAAAAAGAATGCGCCTACGTATTTTCAATTTTTTTGGATTCTTTGGGGGTCAAAACCCTTCCGGTTTATGGTCTTTAATATAAGTATGATGTAAAGGACCCCCAATATAAAGTTACGATTGCTCATTTCAAAAAATGTCCTCTTTCATTAAATCTTACTTTTTCACATTTTTATAGAGTTGTGAAAATCTCTGTTGAAAAGCGCAAAATTATCTTTTTATGGTACCTGAAGAGGGGTTGTTGTTCATTTCTAACATTATTTTTAACTACCTTGCTATAATGTGAATGGAGAAATCATGAAACTATTATAAAATTGTCATTATAAAGCACTCCAAGTGAAACTAGATTGCATGTTTCATTTATAATGACAAGACATGTGTGTGAGGTGACAGTGCAGCTGAGGGGGTGGTCACCCGCACGTTGTTTGGACAATATCGCAGCAAATGATCATTGGCGAAAATAGTTTGAATATTTGTGAAATGACCCCTTAGCTACGCCTAGGGAATGAATAACGTCAATGGCAATGGTCAGTCAGTCAGCTAGCGTGCCCCATTATTGTGTTGACCATGTTGGCTGTTGGTTAGTTTGCCTGATAATTTAATTGTGGCAAAATATTGGCTTAACATCATTACGTACACGCACTGGCTAGCTGAAAAGTGTAAACAAAAAAAAGCCTGCCGACAGTGATCTACCAAAGTATGTTGATGGGTTTAATAATAATTAAAAATCGAAAAAATACAAATTTTTATTATTGAGAGTCGATTTAGTGAATTCTCAATTTATTTTCAAAATTAAAATGATTGCACAGAAAGAAAACATAGTTTTGACCTTTTACGCCCACAGACCACTGTTTAGGCATTTACACGCACATCGCGTCAGATTAAATTTGACCAATACAAATAAACTAACATGGCAGCAGTATGGCTTCACGTGTGTCTACCCTCGAAAGGGTAAGCAGACGGCTACCCAGATTCTAATTACTGTTATTGTGGATGAGAGCGTTTTTGTTATTGTTAGATATTATGCAAAAATATAAACAATAATAATGCGTACCTTTGACGTTGTACAAATAGAAACACATTGAAAACAAGAACAACAACGAAGCGCCAAAGAATTGTTCCTATTACAGTTCTTAAATATAGACAAGCGATTTTTGTCGGTGATTAAGCAAGTCACGACTTTGACTCAGCTTCTGCTTGGTCTTGGCCAAAAGCCTCAAATTACCGCCGTCTAAAACCGAACCTAAACAGGGAAATGTCTACAAAATAGGTTAAACAGGCTGCTGCAGTTGAGTTGTGTGTGAACAAGTATTTGTGATTTGTTAACAAGATTATGGTCCCCTGCTGCAATAACAAATGGAGAATACAGACAACAACAACAACAACAACAACAATAACATCAAAACTTGAGGTTGTTGTTACTATTTTTTTTCTCCATTACACAATTGCCACCCACTTTATGAATTGTTTTAACAACAGGCAGTTATTACATGTATTTTCTGTGGAATAAAAAGAAAGAAAAACAAATTATGGTTCGGCATGTAAGCCAACCAAGACTAACAATTAAAATGTTTCGCTTATGCACTGAGCTTAGACCGAAGACCGGCAGGCCAATCATTCTCTGGGCAATGCTGATTCGCCCGATTGCTGTTCACATTTTCTGACAAATGTTTGTGACACATGCGATATTTTTCGTCAAAGCGTTTCAGCGGTCAGCAATCATCATCATAATTGGCGTCAGTCAGGAGTATGGTTAGGTTACACAAGCAAAAAATACTAAAAAAAATGAAAACGAATCATTAGAGCCACAACAACATCATTCAACAATTTAGATTTTAGATTTTAAAGTTGGGAGTTGTACTCACACATAGAACTTGATTATAGACTAAACTTTTTGTTGTTGTTGATGTTGTAGATATTTAATTGTCACCGCCATTATTTTGTGAACAGAAATGAATTTTTGTTAGCTTTTAGCCGTAACAAAAATGCAACATGAGTTGTGTGTTTTCGAAGCTCTTTGCAAACAACTTTTCTAACAAAATCAACTGAAATCAAGGGGAGTATTTTTTTAAACAAACT